GTGACAGTGACAACCAGGCTACTCTGCTTATTAGCCACATGACCTTGCTCAAGTGAGTCAACCTCTCTGATTCTCATCTAAAGTAGAAGTAGAAATGCCTCCTAGGACTGATATGGGAATAAAGTAAATGGCATATGTGCACAGTGTCTGGGACAGTGTTGAGCTGTTGTAGTCTACTTGGCATGTGGGAGAAGCATAAACAAATGAAAATATAGTATAACCTGAACAAATCAGAAGACAGCAGGCAAGCAGGTTGGAAAATAAAAGATTTGAGTATAAGGGAAAGATTAAATAGTTCTTCATCTGTCGTAGAGGGAAAGGAAACTGTCCCATCTTTAAATATATTGACTGATATTTCCACTCATAGACAATAGTACTTTGGTAACTTACGTGACCATGTCCTGACATGGACTCGCTGAAGTACTTTTAGCTCTGAGAATCAAAGGGCTTCCAAATGTATGGTTAAAGAACTTAGCCCTTTGACAGTACTCTGTGTCAGGTTTAGGTCTTGGAGTTCTGTTACATGGTAGCGATTGATGGACCCCAGCATGTTGCAGTATGTGACACCCTTCTGTTCAGGCAGACCCGCTATTTCTGAAAAGGGTTTACTGTGCTGTGGAGCCCCAGGCAGCTTTGGGAGTAACAGCTATAACACTGGCACTTGTGCAGGTCCCCAGCAGGTTCTGGAAGGAAAAATGGTGAGCGAGGCGGTCCAGGCAGCTGACTGCTCCCCTCTACCCCTCACATCAGCCCACCCCTGTTCTATCCCCAGATGGTCACCCTAGGTGGCACTGCTGAGCAATGAAGTTAACAAATGTTTTAATTTCACTGCTGAGTAGTTCTGAAGAGGGGGAGACAGTAGCGAGGATAATGAGAAGCGGATCAGATGCCACCACTGATGAAAGCTTCTCTTCCCCACTGGCTCAAATAGTAAGACTAGACAAATTGGATGCTGAGAAAGGTAGATTTGGGATATTCAGAGAGATTCAGGTGAACAAGAATAACAGCTACAAAAACCTGGCCTAGGGTAGAATGAGATAGCTCTGTGCTATATCAGTTAAGAGACACAGAAAAAAAACTAACAAGGAACAAAAGGGAAAATAAGAAGAAACATGTTAACTAAGGGTATCAGCAATGGGTATCTATTACCAAAAAACCAAACTCACTGCCATCAAGTTGGGTCTGATCCGTAGCGACCCTTCCTTGGGTTTCTGAGACAGTATCACTATGGAAGTAGATGGCCTAATCTTCCTTCCAAGGAGTGGCCGGTGGGTTTGAACCACCAGCCTTCTGGTTAGCAGTCAAATGCTTTAGGCACTATGCCACCAGAACTCTTGGGGTGGTGTAGTGCCTAAGGCATTTGACTGCTAACCAGAAGGCTGGAGGTTGAAAACTACCAGCTACTTCTCAGAAGGAAGGTTGAGCCATCTACTTTTGTAGAGATATTCCTCAGAAACCCAAGGAGGGGTCGCTATGAGTCAAATCAACTTAACGGCGGTGAATTTGGGTATCTATTACTGTGTAACAAATTAAAATCCAGCAGTGTAAAACAACAGACATGCATCATCTCTATTTCTATGGGTCAGAATCTGGCCATGGCTTAGCCTACTCCTCTGGCTCAGGGTCCCTCACAAGACTGCAATCCAGTGTCAGCCAGGGCTGCAGTCACTTCAAGGCTCTTCTCAGGGAGTATCTGCTTCTACGCTCACTTACAGGGCTGGTGGTGGTTTCAGAAGATCCACTTCTAGGCACACTCACTGATATTGGCCAGAGATGTCTGTTCCTTACCAGGTAGTCTCTCAATAGGCCAGCTCACGACAGGGCAGCTTGCATCCCCCAGAGCAAGGACTGAGAGAGAGAGGAGGTGTGTTACAGTCGTTGTGTAGCCTGCGCTTGGAAGTGGCATCCCATTGCTTTTACTGTATTTTCTTCTTTTGAAGTAAGTCATTAAGTCTGGCCCAAGGGCAGGAAAACCAGGAGGCAGGGGTCACTGGGAGCCATTTTAGAGGTTGCTTACTGCAGGGACCCTACTGTTTTCAAGAAAAAGACATTCTAAAGATAATAGGCCGACTAACAACAGCATAAAAAGTTGAATTAATATGACCGAAAGGGATTAAGTATTTTACAGGTGTCTTTATCACATTTATTTATTTATTTTTAAATTGTTACTTTAGATTCATGGAAGTTACTCACTCCAGTGAAATTGTAGTGCAAATTACTAAACTAGTGTATCAAAGTTTCATTTCACTTTTTACAGCCATTCTGTGATCAGGAAACAAGCTTAAAGCAAAGCCTGGAAACACAAAAATTTATTTATAATTCCTATCTATTTGGGGGAGCTGTGGTGACATAGTGCCTAAGGCATTTGACTGCTAACCAGAAGGCTGGTGGTTCAA